CTTTGATCCATTTGCACTTAAGTTTTGTGCTTGGTGATAGACATGGATCTATCTGCAATCTTCTGCATGTCCGAACCCAGTTGTGCCAGCACCATTTGTTGAAGATGCTATCTTTTTTCCATTGTATAGATTTAACAACTTTGTCAAAAATAAGGTGTTCGTAGTTACGTGGGTTAATATCAGGGTTTTCAATTCCATTCCATTGGTCTATCTGTCTATTTTTGTGACACCACCAAACTGTTTTCAGAACTATGGCTCTATAGTAGAGCTTGAAGTCAGGGATGAGATGGAGATGCTTACAGAAGATCCTTTATTGTACGGAGTTGTTTGGGCTATCCTAGGTTTTTTGTTTTTCCATATAAAGTTGAGTATTGTTCTTTCAAGGTCTGTGAAGAACTGTGTTGGGATTTTGATGGGGATTGCGTTGAATGTGTAGATTGCTTTTGGCAAGATTGCCATTTTTACTATGTGGATCCTACCTATCCAAGAGCATGGGAAATCTTTCCATTTTCTCGTATCTTCTTTAATTTCTTTCTTTAAAGACTCAAAGTTCTTACTGTACAGGTTTTTCACTTTTTTGGTTAGTGTTACCACAAGATATTTTAGGATGCTTGTGGATATTGTGAAGGGTGGTGTTTCTCTGATTTCTTTCTCATTGGATTTATCATCTGTATATAGTAGGGCTACTGATTTTTTTAGTTAATTTTGTATCCTGCTACTTTGCTGAAGTTGTTTATCAGCTGTAGGAGTTCCCTAGTAGTTTTTCGGGTCACTTATATAATCTATCATGTCATCTACAAATACTGATCTCCTTTTATCATCTAATTGCTCTAAGTAGAACTTCAAGTACAATATTGAAGAGATATGGAGAGAGTGGTCAGCCTTGTCTTGTTCCTGATTTTAGAGGAATCTCTTTGAGTTTCTCTCCATTTAGCTTGATGTTAGCTGTTGGTTTGGTGTATATTGCTTTTATCATGTTTAGATATGTTCCTGTTATTCCTGTTCTCTCCAAGATCTTTATCATGAAGGGATGGTGGATTTTGTCAAAGGCTTTTTCAGCATCTAGTGAGATGATCGTGTGGTTTTTCTTTTTCAGTTTGTTTATATGGTGGATTACATTGATGGATTTTCGTATGTTGAACCATCCTTGCATCCCTGGGATGAAGTCCATTTGATCATAGTGGATGATTTTTCTGATGTATTCTTGGATTCGATTCGCCAATAGTTTGTTGAGTATTTTTGCATCAATGTTCATGAGGGATATTGGTTTGTAGTTCTCTTTTTTGTTGTATTTTTATGTGGCTTGGGTATCAAAACAATTGTAGCCTCGTAAAAAGAGTTTGGCAATGTCCCTTCTGCTTCTATTGTGTGGAACAATTTGAGGAGTACTGGTATTAGCTGTTGTTTGAATTTCTGGTAGAATTCTGCAGGGCCATCTGGCCCTGGGCTTTTTTGGTTGGGAGGCTTTTGATGGCTACTTCTATTTCATTAGGGGTTATAGGAGGGTTCAGCCTCTGGAGGAAGCCGGATGACAGAGAGCGGTGGGTGGACAAGGGGAGGGTGTGTCTGAACTCAGGGTGGGCCTTCCAGTCTGGGCAGGTCCATTCTTGTCCAGGAGTGGGGGTTCAGGCAGAAGCGAGCAGGGGTTGATGGGAAAGTTGGGGGAGGGCAGAGCAGTGCCCAGATTCACTTGAGGTTTGGGCACCCACCAAAGGACAGACAGCAGAGTGTACAAGGGTGAGGTGTGTCCAGACTCGGGGTGGGCCTTCTTGTCTGGGCAGGTCCACTCTTGTGTGGTGGGGA